AAAAAGTTCTCTCATCTCTCTTTTCTTCATCTCTACCACCACACAATAGGTATTATCCATGGACATTTTCATCGCAATGTTGCCATAGTTAGAATAGTTTAGAAAGGAGTTAGGAGGGTCCCAACGATGAAAAGGCTGCGATGTATCAAGAGATAGTAAGCATTTTCAAACTTTGCAGTGCCTCTCTTTGGTTACGTCTGTCTGAAGCANCATCTCTACCACCACACAATAGGTATTATCCATGGACATTTTCATCGCAATGTTGCCATAGTTAGAATAGTTTAGAAAGGAGTTAGGAGGGTCCCAACGATGAAAAGGCTGCGATGTATCAAGAGATAGTAAGCATTTTCAAACTTTGCAGTGCCTCTCTTTGGTTACGTCTGTCTGAAGCACAATGCCATCGCTCCGGCCACCGCCATCTTCGGCCTCCTCAATGGGCTCGTTCATGTGGTAATGATTGACTGCAGAACTCTGTTTTCCTTAAATCAAGCCCCCATCTCTATTTTCTCGCCTAGGTCATGTACAGCTACTACGGCCTCTCCTCGCTGGGCCCTCACATGCAGCCCTACCTTTGGTGGAAACGGTACATTACGCTGATGCAGCTGGGTCAGTTCGCCATCTTCGCCGTGTACGGCGTCTTGCTGTACTTCAATCAAATCGGTTATCCGCCCTTTCTCTTCTGGATTGGCATGACGCAGCCCATCTTCTTCTTCCACCTCTTCTACGGCTTCTACCGGAGGACGTACAACAGTGGCGAAAGGACGAAAAAGTTGGCCTGAGAAAGGTGAACAGTTTCAACAGTATCGTCTCTCATTCTTGTTCTGGTCTCTTTTCACTAATAAACTTATTTAGACTTTTGAGGTTTTTCGATATCAGAGAGCCGTCTAAAGTGAAAGAGCTGTTTATTTACTGTGTTACACAAAAGTTTTGACAATTTTATAACATAAGAGATTAGTGCACAAAAAGTTAATTAGATTTTCTAGTTGTGAATGAATTTAATCTTCAAATTATTTTTTATTGTCATTTTCTGTAGTTTTGCTGTTGTTGTTGTTGTTGCTGCTGCTTGTGACCAAAACAGGATCCTGGGATGCCGCTTCTAAGTAGAATGAGTTTGTTTTGTGTAAAAAGGATAAGAAAATAATCGATAAATCTACTAATTTGAAAATGAACCTCTGGAAATGAAAAATTACTTTCCAGTTGAATTTTAGAGTAGGTGTTTTGTTCTTCGGGTGGCAACCCACAGTATCCAGCCGATGAACTACTTGCTCAAATGTAATAGAGCTTCTCAGACTTCTCTGCATCGATGGTTAGCACCTTTGAAAGCTTCATCAAGAGCTCCTGCTCGTGCAGTTCAGTGTCTACAGTCATAGAGGTAAGACTGGTCGATGTCTGATCGGAGTTGCGCGTTTGGTACGCATCCTAGGTAATGATGAAAAAAAGAAAAGAGTCAATAAGAAAGTCACTCAGTAGCCACCACACAAAGTACCGTGAGCTGCTTGGCGCGGTAGGCGCACAGATCCGCGTAGCGAATCGAAGTGGGAATGCTGATGGTCTTTCGGGTGCGCGCACAGTTGTGGCAGGCAAAGAAGCACAGGCGCTCAATCTGGTCGGTCTTCAGGCCAAAGTCGTCGCGCAAGATGGTGTACTTTGAGGGTTTTGATGTGCCCTAGAAAGCAGAGAGGGAGAAACAAACAAGTCAACTTGAGTTCAATTAGATAAACAATCCACTTACCAGCTGCGAAAAGTGGCTATTGAGAACCATGCCATCAATCATTGGCTCCACAATGTGCGTGTCCACGACTGTGCCGCTGTCCACGTTGTACGTCGGCTTGCGGGCGTTGGTGTTCTGGGTGGTCAATCCAAGGCGAACAATGTGGCGCTTTTGGACGATGATGAAGGCGATCTTCACGTTGGGAGCCAGTCGGTTCAGCATCGCCTCCATGGACACTAGCTCCGAGTCGCGAAGGATCTTCACGTGGCCATCGCCGACACCGTCGCGAAAGACAATGACGTTGTTTGGATAGCGCCCTTCGTTTTTCTTTTGGTAGTGGATGAGCAGTTTCTCCAACATTTGGGCAATGTCGTGAATTGTCTCGGTACGATCCTTCTTCTGTATGCGAATGTCGTTCGAGTAGTGACTGATATTGGCGTCAAAGCTGCCCACTACGGCGGCAATGGAGAGGGGCACCTTCTCAATCATACCAGGGTGGTTGACGTCCGCACCTACCACCATGGTCTCTGAGAGGCTGAACGGCAAGTCCTGGATGTAGTCGTGGCCAACAAGCATATTCTGTAAAGAAAGTAAAAGAAGATTGCAAAGGAGTTCACGCCAACAGAGCAACAAACATGAACTTACTGTTCCACCCAGTTTGGCGTTAATCTTATCAAGAAGATTATCGTAGTAGCCCTGCGGAGTGTTTACTACTTTTTCACCCATCACACACTGGCTAATGATATTTTTGTCATTGTTTTCGCCGAATTTCACAAAATTGTAAATTGTGCTCTTGTCAATTGTGGCGTTTTCTATAAATAACAAAAACAGGGAAAAGTTTACCATTAAACCGAATTAAAACTTAATCACCAGCAAACAGGGGAAAACCGCTTACCGCTAGGTAGAACGACAAGCACAAACTCAGCCTGTTTGATATTTTTCAAGTTTTCCAAGCAATATTCCACCGTCTCTGGCATCTCAATCTTCACGGTAAAGACGGGCGAAGGGTGAGCGAATCGCATATTCTTCCGCCCGGCCGCTTCCATCATCAAGAAGATAAATCGGTTTAGTTTTTCTATTTCAACTTTGTGGTCAAAGCAGAACACCCCCCACGTGGCCGGAGTGCTCGCCGGAATGTGAAAGTCTCTGGGGCCGGTTAAGATTCTCGGCAGCGGCAGAACTCGCGCGGGAAACTTAACCGGCAGGGTGGTGAGGGTGACGCCAAAGCTGGAAAGGAGGCCAGGGTCAATGGCTGCCACCGTGTCCACAAAGGCGACCACCTGTGGAAAGTAGACGTTGGGAAGGAGGGTGGAAAGTTTGAGGTGCTCCGTTTGAACTAGGGCCGGCAGTTTGTACTCGACGACGAACTGGTCCGGCACCAGGTGGCACACCTCCATCGGCAGCATGATCATCTCCTTCTTGTCGCCAAACTTTCCACCTAAGGGCGTCATTGTGCGCACCAAGTTCAGATCGCCCACCTCAAAGTTGTACATTTTCATAAAGTATTCTTTCACGTTGGTGAGCTTGCCTTCAAAGTTCTTGAACTGGTGTCGCTCAGTTGTTTTGTGACTTAGGCCGTCAATGGTGAAAAGGCCCGGATTTCGAGTGTGGTTTGTCTGCACCTTAAGGCCAGAAAGGATCTTGTTGACCTTCTTCAGCTCATCCTTAGAGAGACTTCCTGGAATTAGGCTTCGACGATTGAGCAGCGCCATGACTAACTGCGCCACGTTGGAGATGCCGCGCTCAATGAGGCAGGAGCACTTCAGGTGGAGGTTGAGCGCCAGTCCAAACTCAGTCAAGCGGACGGAGATGGAAAAACCGCGAACAAATTCAAAGGCGCGGCTGCTGGTTCGCTCGCGTTGAAGTAGATCGTAGAAGCTGCTCTGGTGAGCGGTGAATTGCTTCTCGATAACGAAGCGAAACAGCTGCTCATAGACTGGCACGATGGAGGGCGAAAGCGTTTTAACGTTACCACCGGAAGCGTAGTAGTTGTCCAGTTCTTTAAGGTCAATCACTGCAGCTAGCGAAAGAACGACAGCAAATCGAATTTCTCGACCACCGATGGTGAACGTTTGGACTTGAGGAACATGTTGTAGGTCAAGTAGACGGGTAGAGTAAAGCTTTTGTGTTCCATCGTGAACAAATGGAGTACGTCCAAACACTTCGGAGTTTTGCTTGAAGTACATGTTTAAAATTTCTGCAGAGGCTTTTTTGATAAATATTTCAAGTCCTTTTTGCACAGGGGCAAGGACGTATTGTTCGATGCTTCCAGACATGGGGTCGTCAGGGCTGTAGGCCATCTTCTTCAAATCGATGGAATAATGGTAGATGACTTTTCCGTCAGTTATGATCTTGAAAAAGTTTGAAAGAATTTCCACCGGTCTTCCCTCGCTCCCGCTGCCTAGGCCCTGCTCAACCAGCTGTTCATGAAAAACCGATTCGGGCATGGTTGAATGAGCGCGGTTTGAAGCGCCTCTAAACGGTCCCCCGCGACTGCACTCTTCGAAACCTCGATGACTGCTTTCAAAGGTTCCTCGGCCTAAAAACAAAGTTGTTAAGATTCTAAAAACCTCCGAAAAACTGAAATGACAAAAACTTGCCTCGATTAACATCGCCTCGGTTTCCTCCTCCTCGAGAAAACACTGAGCTATACGGTGATGATTCCTGATGGCTGCCAGGGTTGGGAGCGTATCCGCGTCCGCGATAACTTCCATTGCCCCGGCGGTCTTTTCGAGACGAAAATAGATAGCATAGTGAAATAAAGAAAAGAAGTTAGAAAGTTAAAAAATTTGCAAAAAAAGGCAACAGGGCAACTGCAAAGGCACTTACCTCCCCCAGCGTGGCCTCGATAACCGCGATACATGGCTTCTGATTGACACTACAAACTCGGGAGAAAACGGAAACCGGAGAAGTTGGATTTTGGGTTCGAAATGGCGGCCGGACAAGATCGGGCGAATTAACAGGTGGCGGGAAGAGAGTGCAAATGACGCAACAAACAAAATGAAAGCGAGAGAGCGAGCCGAGTGCGAAGTTCGCACAGCGAACGTTGTCCCGTCAACCAATCAGAAACCGTCGCCATTGTTGCCATGCTGTGGCAATAGCCGTAAGCGCAAAGCAGATCATCTCAGGTGGAAATTGACTAAAACTCGAATTTTTTGTTTATCAACTGAAAAATTATTCTTTTGTTTTTTCTCTTGAAGTTTATCAAAGACAACAAGGGACCATTTTACAGCGAATATCTAGAGAATGAAGAAGGTATGAAACCAATTTTTCATACGCCTTTTTGTTTTGTTTTTTTCTTTATGAAATTGACGTCATTACAAAAATTCCTCTTGCTTTTTGCTTCGTACAACGGCTCCTAATTAAATCGATTGCAGTTGCAGACAGTAAGGCGATGTAGCGTTTTTCATGGGATTTTCTTTAGCTTTTACTCAGATAACAAATCAGCGCATTGTCTGAGTCCAAAAAACTGCCCACCTACAAAAATCATATTTTTCCTTCACTCTGATCATCATTTTGTTATTTCATAGCCAACAAAAAGCGCTAATTGTTTTTTGCTTTTTTCTGCACTGTATAACAACATTAAAATTCCCAAAAAACAGTGGCAAAATGAGTGATAAGAAGGAGAAAAGAAAGAAAACGAGGCAAGGCAATCACTGTCTACGAAATGACAGCAGCTGGTTGCAGCTGTAAAGTAAACACGAGAAAAAGGCAAAAACGGTACTTTACCAGAAAAAAAGAAGGGGTCTTGAAGAATAAGGACATACTGATACTTACAAGAAAGAGAAAAAATGTTTATGAATTGACTTGAGCAAGATTTGCAACGAAAGGTATAAATATTGGACTCTGTGGAGATTAGCAGAGCGCAGACAAAGCCTTGTGTGACTAATCANGAGAAAAGAAAGAAAACGAGGCAAGGCAATCACTGTCTACGAAATGACAGCAGCTGGTTGCAGCTGTAAAGTAAACACGAGAAAAAGGCAAAAACGGTACTTTACCAGAAAAAAAGAAGGGGTCTTGAAGAATAAGGACATACTGATACTTACAAGAAAGAGAAAAAATGTTTATGAATTGACTTGAGCAAGATTTGCAACGAAAGGTATAAATATTGGACTCTGTGGAGATTAGCAGAGCGCAGACAAAGCCTTGTGTGACTAATCACAATCTCTGATAGTTTCAACTCTCCCATTTATATCACTCAAATCACTGAAATGACAACCGAAAGTAGAACGGGTCAAATTTCTCCATCTTCATCTTCAGGTAAGTGCTGAAGCAGTCCAATACTGAAAATTGTTACCATTTCTAAAACCAACCACCTCTAGCTTCCTACTACCTCCACCAGTTCTGGTACGATGTGCAGGATCCTCGCACTGCGGACTTTCCTCTGGTGGCCGGCCCGCCCTACCCGGTCCTCGCCATCATGTCCTTCTTCCTCTACTTTTCCCTCTCCCTGGGCCCCAGACTGATGGCCAACAGAGCACCGCTTGACTACCTGAAGCCACTCATCATCGTCTACAACTTCAGCATGGCCGTCAGCAACGCCTACTTTGCCTACCTGATCATCGCCAACTGCGACTATGGGCGGCGCTTTCTAGTCTGGAACTACCCCGACCAGAGCGACCGTAGTCCACGGGCGATGTGGGAGCTTCGCATGGGCTGGTGGTACTGGATGACCAAGTTCCTCGACCTCTTCGACACCGTCTTCTTTGTGCTGCGAAAGAAGTTTGACCACCTTTCCTTTCTCCATCTCTACCACCACACCGTCGTGCCAATCTTTGGGTACCTCTGCCTCAAGTTCAACCCTTTCATGCCCGTCAACGGCATTTTTGGCCTGCTGAACGGCCTCGTGCACGTCGTCATGTACAGCTACTATGGGTTCTCCTCGCTGGGCCCCGCCGTCCGGCCGTATCTTTGGTGGAAGCGGTACATCACGCAGATGCAGCTCGGCCAATTCGCCATCTTCGGTCTGTACGGTCTGCTGCTCGTCTTCAAGCAGACCGGCTATCCGCAGTACCTCTTCTGGTTCGGCATGACGCAGCCCTTTTTCTTTTTCCATCTTTTTTACGACTTTTACAAGAAGACTTATCAACAACGAAAGCTGATGAGTGGTGGTGGTGGTCAGCAGCAACAACAGCAGCAGCAGCAGAGGCAACAGAAAAAGTTGAACTAAAAACGCTTCCGTTTTTTAATGTGATCACTTTGATAACAAAAAACTAAAAGGATCAGAATGACATAGTTTTACCTAGACTTAGAATGAAATGAAAACGATAAAATAACAATTAAAATGTCGCATGTCTGCTCCCTTATCAATTTCTTACTCACTTCTTCTCGCGGCATGCACCACACACTCTTTTGTCAACCCTGACTCTTGTCACCCTCTGTTCACCCCCAGTCATGCCCGTGAGTATTGTCTTTCCCCGTTTCTCTTTCCTTCTCGTCTTTTCCCCTCATGTACTTAAGCTCTCTCTTTCCTCTCAGTAAAAGGGTCTTAGTGTCTTAGCAGATGACAAGCAGACCGTCACTCTGTCCAGCAGCAGTTTTTGGCCCTCGCAGTGCGGCCGTAGTTCTTCAGCAGCAGCAGTGTTTGGCCCTAGCAGTGCGGCCGTAGGCTCCGGCAGCAGCAGATCATCGTCATCGTCTTGTCTACTAGCAAAAGCAGCACCA